TAGCAACACATAACTTTATTATGAATGTTTCATATGCAAAAAATAATTTTTGCATCTTGGATTTTCTCTCCTCAAACAATACCTGCTCTAGTTTTATTTATTCTTTTTTAATGCTGTCAATTATTTAATGAGAAAAAAAAATATGTTCAACCATTCCCCTTAATAATTATTCACTTTATATTCAGCGCTTTTCCACCACAAATAAAGCCACACAAAAAATATTGTCAGAATGCATCCTGCACACTAGGCTTTTGATTTCTACAGGATGGATTCTCAGAAGACCTGCAGATAAGTCAATGGTGGATATACCGTCAGGGTTTGCCCTCTATTAAAGATAGATTCACATTTCTACCAGAAGAGGACGAAGACCCAGTTTTATTTTCTCCGGGTAAATGACAGGTTATACCAGCATCATTTATAGTCTTTTCTCAATGTATTGATAATAAACTGTGTTATTAAAATATTTTTTTAATATTGATTCTTGGGCTGGGCAGGGAAACACAAAAAGAAAACAGAACCTGCTCTGCCAAAAGTATTTAAAGTAAGAAAGTGTTCAAGATCCATTAGGGACGTGTCAAAAAGATACAGGAATAAGCTTGAATGAGCAACAAAGAGCCAAATTTGGAGCAATTTGAACATCCAAATGAAAAAATGACAGGAATGGATTATAACATTGAATACAAAAGATGAGTACTAATGCTAAAAGATAGTAATAATTGATTTAGGCAAGACTCATCAATAAATGCTAAAAACCACTGAGTATTGGGGAACGGGATAGTCACACAGTCTCAATGTACCAGCTCATTAAAAAGTAGGGGGGGGGACCTTTAAAATGGAGCAGTCTAGTGGAGAGCACACCATTTAAATCGAGCGAAGTCAGTAGCACCAATAACGTGACCAATTGAGATCATGTGGTCCCTACTGTGACACTGAGGACACTTCACTCATGCAAAAAATATTAACCGCAAAAAAGCAAGCATTGCCCTAACCGGTTTGGCTCAGTGGATAGAGCGTCGGCCTGCAGACTCAAGGGTCCCAGGTTCGATTCCGATCAAGGGCATGTACCTTGGCTGCAGGCACATCCCCAGTAGGGGGCGTGCAGGAGGCAGCTGATTGATGTTTCTCGCTCATCAATGTTTCTAACTCTCTATCCCTCTCCATTCCTCTCTGTAAAAAATCAATAAAATATATTAAAAAAAACATAATAATAAAAAAAGCACACTGAGGACACTTCACTCATGCAAAAAATATTAACCGCAAAAAAGTAAGCATTTTTGTTATTCAGATTTTGCATAATATAAAACTTGCGTTCCCAAGTCTTGAGCTACAGTCAACCTATGTTTACCAACCTATGTTTGTATTTTAAAACATCTGTAATATTCTCAGGATATTTAATCAGACATCTATTGAAACTATGATTTACGTTAAATTCTTCAAATTAGTTTATATAGAAAAAGGTGAATAAATAATGAAGGCGGAAAACACTATATGACATTAATTCAATAAACATTTACAGGCTACTTTTCTCTGTGCTATACTATTTGACAGGTGCTAGGCAAACAAGGATAAATCTGGCAAAGTAAATGCCACCTTTATTCTTTTCATAAAACTTTCTAATCATAATAAACCCAATGAAAAAAAACAGTATTAACCTAAATTCTGGTTTTAAAGGACTATGCAAAGATGGATCTAAATTAGTTAGAATCCTCATTTAACTATATTAATCAATATAATAGAAATACTGTAATATAAAATAAGTGTTATATTAACTGATTCATTATAGAAGTAGAAAATATAGTGATTAAAAACAGGGGATTTAGAATCAGACTGGCTGTTTGCATCCTGAGCCCACTGTAATTTTACAGTTCCTCTATGTGTAAAATGGAGCTGATAATATGATGTTATGAAGATTAAATATGTCAGTGCACACAAAGATCTTAGCATACTTAGTGGCAATCACACAAACACACATATGAATGTTCATAGCAGTATTATCTGTAATAGTAAAAAACTGGAAATGCACTAAATGTTCATCAATGAATGAATGGACAGAGACCATGTGGTACATCTACCACGATGAAATACAGCTCAGTAATAAAAAGGAACAAACTACTGCCCTAGCCGGTTTGGCTCTGTGGATAGAGCATCGACCTGCGGACCAAAGGATCCCAAGTTCGATTCCGGTCAAGAGCATGTACCTTGGTTGCAAGCTCCTCCCTGGTCAGGGCTTGTGCAGAAGGCAACCAATCGATGTGTTTTTCTCACATCAATGTTTCTCCCTGTCTTTCCCTCTCTTTTCCACTCTCTCTAAAAATCAATGGAAAAATATCCTCAGGTGAGGATTAAAAACAAAACAAAGGGAACAAAGTACTGACACATCGACATCAAGAAATAAACCTGCTAAGAGAAAGAAACCAGACAAGAGACTATAGATTATATGGTTCCATTTACATGAAATATCTAGAATAGGCAGATTTATAGGAAGCAGGTTGGTGACTGCCTGAGACTGAGAGTGAGGATGAAGATTAACAGTAAGTGAGCATGAGAGATCTTATTAGGAAATGAAAATGTTCTAGAAATAAATTATGGTGATAGGTGTACCACTCAGTAAAATCACTAAAAATCAATGAATCATACACTTGAAATGAGTAAATTTTACACATAAAATAATCTCAATAAAGTTGTTTTCAAAAAATAGTTACTACATGATCTCACTCACATGTGGAATCTAATGAACAAAACAAACTGATGAATAAAATAGATCCAGAGACGCAGAACACTGTCCAGCTTAAAAACCTCCCAGGACTCTGTATTTCCCATGTGACAATGACCAATCTCCTGAGCATTCAATCCTATTACCTGCCCATCTAAACACAGACCCTGAATTAGACCCTGCAGGACACTCTTCTGCTTTCACTCAATCACTATTCCATGGTGTTGAGACAGTTTCCTCTCAAGTTCAGCTCAACTCTTCCGTGAAGACTGCACTAGACATCCCCATGTGCCCACCTCCCAAACGAAGTCTGAGTCACCTCCTGCTCTGTGTTCCCATGGGACTTTGTTCATGAAAGCAACAGAGCTCTCATCACATTGCAGTACACATGTACTCATGGTGTTCCTCCTCCAGTCCATGGCTCTTTGAAAGCTCGTTTTATTCCTATTTCATCCATAGTCCTTAGGATGGCACATAAAAAGACTTCAACAAATGTTTATGAAATAAATACATCTCATTTCAGAGTGCCTAAAATCCATCTACCCTGGATATTCGATCAAATAACTGAGGGCAGTCGTGGTAGGAAAGTACAGATGGGTCCTACATGTTTAGGTAGAATATTCGCCAGCTCCAGTGGTTTAGGCAAGAACAGAAGAGCCACTGAGGTTATGCCCCTCTCCTCACTGCTCTGCCACCGACACAGAGCCACGCTAGGATAACAGGACCACACGGAAGAAGCAACCAAGACGTGTAGGGGATGCGGGAGAAGGAGAAATAAATAGGGAAAAAGACAAATCCCAAACTGAAGCTACAAAAAGGGACGTGTCGAGGGTCACGGATTACAAACTCAGCTTGCTCATGACTACTATCATCTCCGTCACCGCTTTCACCATCTCACTGACAGCAACCATCTACTGATCGCTTACCTGTTGGCAGCTGGACGCTGTGCTGAAAACGACCACATATGTCCTTCAGCGTTCATGACAACCCTATCACAGAGGTATTATCCATATTCCAGAGACAATAAAGCAAACCTATAAACAATTAACTGCACTGCCCATGGTTTCATAGTTAATATGTTAAGTCATAGAGCCGGGATGTGAAAGAGGGTCAGGCTTCAAACTTCTCTTTCTGCTCTGCTATCCACGTGCCAGGGGTGTAAACAAGCTGGGGACTGGCTTTACTGCTTTGCATTAGTTAGGGCACAGTCCATGTCTAATATGCTCTATTTCTTCCCTAGCATCTCAAAATGATTTTTCTATATAGTAATCACTCAGTATTCAATTGGTTTCTTACTATACCTGGTTACTAGTAGAAGTAAAAAGGTTTATCAATCTTTAGTTGGCATTAAGCCAAATACAAAAAAAAGATGATGTAGCTCTTCTGACTATAGTATGTGCTGGGGTTAAGACTTTAAGTCATCAATTGGAATAGGCCCTAAAACACCAACCACAACTATAAAATTGAGGATGGTTTGGTATAATAATAAAAACGCTAAGATATACTGCTCTTTTCTTTAGATCTGGGTATAAAGATAATAATTATATACGAATAGTCATATATTATAACAAGCACATGAACTTACTTAGATGTGGAAATAAATATGCTTTAATTGTTAAAACCTCTTATTTCTCTTGCAGAAAGATGTAAAAACATGTGACAGTGGACTTATGTCTTCTACATAGTTCTAAAGTCTATGTCAGTACATGAGGCAAAAATCAACTAGAGACAAAATAATCTTTGAAAAGTCCTTAAATCACCCTTCAAGCACAGTATAATACAGTACCAGCTCTCAATAAACCCATCTCAACAGTTTTTCCTCCCTCGCGGAGCAAACATCACCATTTCCTCTGCTGTGTGCCACATGGAGTATTTGGCTCATGCTTGGAGGCCACATTGAAGGAAAGCACACATTTACACACGGGCATCACAGTCAACACTCTGAGATACTTAGACTGTATCAGTCCTGGAGCAGGTACTCAGGAACCATTCCATCTGAGAGAACAGCGTATCCCCGTCTTTCGAGTCATGCTTGCTAGACATATGCTCATTGTGGAAAAAGAGCTAGAGTTACTGCTGTATTTAAATTATTTAGTGTTTTGTTTTGGGTGTTTTGGTTTTCGGCTTGAGCCCAAAGATATACATTTGAATAAGTTATATTCCCAGACATGTGACTCTACTGTACCTGCTATCTCTTGTTGATTGTGCAGCCACAGATGCCTAGAATTTTAGGCACAAATTATCTAACACTATAGTGTGTCATCTAAAAAAATAAAACTGATCTTACCTTCATCTATTGATGCTTCGCTACTGTAGCCATCATACTCTGCAGATAGAGGGCTGTATTTTTGTCTTGTTTCCCAAGTATAGTTCTTCTGTCTAGAATCAGCCAATGGGAGCCTGGAATTGTGTGTTCGGGATAAGGCCTCGTGGTATTTACCCAGTGCTTCATCTTCACTCTCAGAGGATGAACCGTGCTCATCTCTGTCCATGTAGGAATTATCTATTTGCAACAACAAGGAGAGCAAATCAAAATTTTAATGCAATAAAGGATGATGAATTTGTTATACACACACACACACACACACACGTATATGTATACATATACAATATACACACATGTATATATAGAGGATGAACCGTGCTCATCTCTGTCCATGTAGGAATTATCTATTTGCAACAACAAGGAGAGCAAATCAAAATTTTAATGCAATAAAGAGTGATGAATTTGTTATAGTTTTATATTTATATAAAACTATATACACACACACACATGTATATGTATACATATACAATATACACACATGTATAGTCACATATATCCATATACACACAAATATATAAACACATATAAACAAATACACAATCTAAATTTTCAGCTTTAGAGAAGTATAAACTTTTCACTTAAAAAGCCCAAGACTTTTTTTTGGAGCCTAAGATTTAGATTTTATGGAGTTTTTAAAATGTATTTTTATTGATTTCAGAGAGGAAGGGAGAGAGAGAGATAGAAACATCAATAATGGAGAGATTCATTGATGGGTTGCCTCCTGCCGCCTCCCACTGGGAATCGAGCCCGCAACCCAGGCATGTGCTCTTGACTGGAATCAAACCCAGGACCTTTCAGTCTGCAGGCTGACACTCTATCCACTGAGCCAAACTGGCTAGGGCTAGATTTTATGTTTTAATAGAAAAAGATTCATTTGTATACTTCAATTACGTAAGTAATGTTAATCACAGGGATTTTCCTACAATGTTACACATAAAGAAAATAATAGGGCCCGTCATTTTACACAATTTTCCTAAAGAATCAATAGTATACAAAGGATGTTATAGGTATTGCCTAAACATATAGACATGATTCAGATAATTCATGTTACAAAAGATATTATCATCTTAGCTGAAATTTTCAAAATTGGTAATTCTTATGCTAGGAATGAAACAAACGGGCAGACATATACAGGAGTGGGCAAAAGTAAGTTTATAGTTGTGTATACGTGAAACAGACATGTAAAGAAACAGAGTTTATTTATTTTTAATTCTCACCCGAAATATATTTTTTATTGATTTTAGAGAGTGGAAGGGAGGGAGGGAGAGAGAGAGAGAGAGAGAGAGAGAGAGAAAGAGAGAGAGAGGAGCATCGATCAGTTGCCTCCTGTACACTCCCTGATGGGGTTCAAACCTGCAACCTTTTGGTGTATGGGCCAACACCCCAACCAACTGAGCCACACGGGCAGAGTATTACTTATTACTATTGTATTATTTGTATTACAACTGTAAGCCTACTTTTGCCTACCCTGTATTATTAGTAAAATTATAGTTGGTAAAACTTTTCTAGAGAACAATTTGGTACACATATTAAGCTTTTAAATCTGTATAGTATTTCATCTATTTCTAAGAATTTATCAATTCCATTTCTAAGAATTCAGCCTAAGAAAATAATTAATAGGTGACAATTCAGTGCATTGTGTTCAATAGTAAAAAACAAACAAAAATAAAATAAAACTTAAACATCCATCACTGGGCCTTAAGTAAATTATGATCTATCGATGCAATGATATACTATGCAGTGAATGAAAATGAAGTCAACTTACAAGAACTCACAGGGAAAAAAATAACTAAGGTTATAAAATAGAAGGTATATTCATAGTTTCATTTTAAATATATATATATTTAAACATAAATATATATATACACACTCTCCTACATGCAGTAGATACACGCATACATGCAGTATATATTTATATACACATACAAAAAATGTGTGGAAAAATATACAAAACTTAACACTTATTATCTGCAAATGGTGAAATTACTAGGAAAAGTTTTTCTTACATATACCTATATTTAATATAAAAATTTTTAGGTGGGATAAATTCTTTTTAAAAGCACTAGGTAAAACTTTTAAAACTGCAGCATGCCAAGATGCATTTAAACGAAGATGCAACCTTCTTAGAATTATAAATCAACTCTAGAAAGATGAAGAGACCACAGAAGGTAGAATTTGTGAGATCAGTCTAGATATTTTTCTCTATATACTCAGTTGAGATGATCTGTACTAAAGAAATCAAGGTCTGAAATCCAAGTGGGGAGGCGCAGAATAAGTAAATTTACAATAGGAAAATAGGGATAGGAACTGAATGTTTAGAGTTAGAGGTAAGGAAGCTTAGGTGTCACCTGGTTTAAGTCCCGCTTTTTAATCCAATAAAATAAAATCACAAAAGGGTAAAACTATGGCCAACGTTTTTGCATTGCCCAACTTGTAGTCACTAGCCACATGCAGCTATTTAAACAATTAAAAATAAAATTTAAAATCCAGTTCACCAGTGCTACTAGCCACGTTTCAATCGTTCAGTAGCCATGGGAGACAGTGGTTCTTATACCAAGTAATATGGATAAGCAAAACTTTCCCATCCTTGCAGGCAGTTCTGTTGGGCGATGACAAGATGATGGCAGGTCTGGTCTAGAACCTAGGCATTGTGACTTCCGGTTCAGAGCTTTCAGACTTTTGGGGATATCATGGTGGTGAAGTTAAGGTACTGAGGACAACAACTAGAAATTCCACAGTCACACTGCACATGTTATAAAATATTGCCTAACGTAACCCTGCATTCAGAAAGAGAGAAGAAAACTCTCCCTCCTCTTTTTGTACCTGATAAGCTCTACGTCAGAACCAAGTACACAGGAACTAGTAATATCACAGTTTGGCTACATGAAGAGATAATCTATGGGATTAAGTTTTAAAAGGATTTTTACACTATAACCTGTTTAAGTTTAGTGCTGATTGTAATCTAGAATATTTGAAAGGTATTTGGTTTCTTTAGGTACCAGAATGCTTCTTAATGAAAACAAATCAAGACAAAACTTAAAACGCTGTACTGCTACTTTTCAAGTATTTATTACTAGAGTGCACCCTACTGTTATTTTATGAACAAAATAACATGTAAACTATTCTACTTAATATGTATGTCTTTCTTTATTTCTGCTACTTCATGTAATAATACCAAGGCTACCAAAAACCTCCAAGTCTAACATTCAAAAGGCTACTAGAAGAGTAGATTCCAAAATGGACATAGAGTTGACCTTTGGTATCCACAGGGGATTGACTGGTTCTAGAACTTTCTGCAGATACCAAAATCCAAGGATGGTCAAGTCCCTTATGTACATCCTGCGATATACTTTAAATCATACCTTAATCAATAAAGAAAAACGGAAAAATTAAAAAATAAAGGGATAATATGCTGCAAAATAAATAAACAATCTCTAGATTACTTATCATACCCAATACAATGTAAATGCTATGTAAATACTTGATATGTTGTGTTGTTTAGGGATTAATAAGAAGAAAAAAGTGTCTGTACACGTTCACTACAGATGCAACCATCACAGGCCTAACTACATAGCACACGTCAGCGACAAAGTAACATTTTATATATATATATATATATGTATGTATGGGTTTTTTTTCAATCTGTGGTTGGCTGAATCCACAATTATAAAATCCATAGATATGAAAGGCTAACAGTATTTCCAAAAACTGGTGTTCCTTTTCAGTTAGCTCATTCATCCTGGATCAGCCTCTATTATATCATTTAAAAAAAATTCATATAATTGATAAATAGCAGATCCTTATTCCATATAAAGTCATGCAGAACTGAAAAAGTCTTCCTCATTTCTACTCTTACTCATATTTTGTTATTTTATGAGAATCTAAATTTATTGAAAAGTTCTAGGTACATATTTTATAAATAAAAACCAGTGTACTTTTGGCCTCGTGATCAGACCAGCAATAAGTGGAAATGATTATGGTATTAACAGAAATAATTACAGGATTCTGAAGCAATTCTGCAACCAAAACCACATAACTTTTGGCTAATTGTTTTGAAAATTGTTATACATATTGTGGTGGAAAACTATAAATGTTTAATTGGAATCTTAATTCTATAGAGAATTCATAAGTAATAGTAGATTGTTTATGTATACTCACTGTATGAACATGTATGGCTAACTGAACAGACACATATCCTGAAGCATGTTACTCAAAAAAAATAAAATCTATTGTTCCCAAAGGAAAATATAAAACACCTGATATAGGTACCTACTAGGATGGACTTGAAGAGCAACACTGTACAAAGGACTTTGGCATTAGTTACAAAAATTTAAAAAAATTTAAATGCAACTAAAAATAAACTCCAACTAAAGGTTTCAAACTACTTAAGAAAGCCATGGAGTTGCTGGTTGTAAAAAACAACAACAACAACAGACATTTAAAAAACTTAAGGTTGTTGAAAACTGGCCAAATAATGCAGGGACCAGAGGCAACACTTAGTGTGTGTATTGTTCTTTGAAATGATTGAGAAAAAAAAATGAATGACTTTAAAAATGTCTCCCAGTAAGAAGAATACAGAAAGTCTCAAAACAGATATAGAGGCATGTGTAGGAAAGTTCAGAAATTTGGATGATATTTTCCTAATTTCAAAAATCAAGAGAAATTTTATCACTCACACCCACAGTAGGAGACCTCACCTTTTCCTGGTATTATCTTAGAGTATTTTTCATCTTTACTCTTTGCTTTTCCTTTCTTGGCAGAAACGGCTTCACTTTTCTTTGCTTTTACGTCTCCTTTCCCTTTGTAGCATTTTGTTGCATGTATATGTTCTTTGATTTTTCCATGTAATTTACCTTTAAAGCTAGTTGATGGTGCTAGGTGTCTGTCTTCTTTCATAATGGATTTCCGTATCACATGTCTATCGCTCGCCAAAATATCTTTTGGAGAGTTCTCATTTCCTGAACACTCATTTCCTTTCAACCCTTTACTTTTAATATGGTTTTCAGCTTTCTCTAAATGTTTTTCTCTCTTTTCTTGATACCTTACCTCCTTTAAATCGTTCTTACCATTACTAGAAATTCCTAACCCAGTATTTCTATACCTGTCTGTAGGTCCAAGTTCTTGGCAAAGAGATCCAGTCCTTGCATTCTGCTCAACAACTGATATCCCACCATCACTCACATGGCCTTCCACAGAATTACCAGCATTATTGGTTTCTTGACATTTTGATAGCGTCTGTTGCCTATCATTAATATGTTTAAACGGTCTTTCTTCATTTGTTCCTTGATCTTGCCTTTGTGAAACTGAAGTCGTATAACAATTCCTTTGATTTACTGTGGGCTCTACACTGGATGGTGTTGCCTGACAATCGGTGTTTCTGGAGACTTCTGGTGACATGGCATCTTCTTGTTTAGAAGTATCCACAGCTTCTGCTGCTGAAGCGCTTTCCTCTTCTGGGTGAAAGCCATTCATCATGCTTGTCACCTGCTCAGTCACTGCGTCGCTCAAAGCATAGCTGGCCTCCCCGACAACCGTGGCCAGGTCGTCCACAGCGTTACTGATTGTGTCCACCAGGGAGGACACGGAGGGCAGGCTCCGCTGCAGTTTTCTGAAAAACGCCATCTTCTATCTCCTTGTCCCTACGCGGTGCAATAATGAAATTTTCTCTTCTCAAAATATCAACCACTTGGAATTTGAATTTAACATTTGCTTAAATGTTGCCATTTCTGAGCTCGATATTAGTATTTCGCATGGTGGTTTTTTAAATCGTTCTGTAAATGCATTATGCATTGGAAGAAGCATGTCGAAGCAAAGACTCTTCCAGAAAAAAAGAAAAATCAAACCACTTTCTTTAAATATAATGATATTTTTCCCACTCCAAAGCTATCATAACAGCAGCAAGACAATTATTTTCCCCTCAAATACTATTGGTTTTTTAATTCTATACCTGTAAGAAGAAGTATAAAAAGGATTTTTACTATATTACTTTTTGTTAATTTATTAATAGTCTATGCAGAGGAACTATCCTATCTTATTAGCAAACTACCAATATCACTTCAAATTAAGAAAAATAGTAAGGGGAAAATATGTAAGCAATTGTGTGCAGAGGTCAGAACAGGGGAGGGCAGGGGGTGAACATTTTCTCAGTAGCTATGACAGGCAAAGCATTGGGATTTACAAATTTTACCTTATTTAATCTTACAATAACTCTAGGAGGTAAACACTATTATTCCTATTTAATAAGTGAAAGAAAAACAAGGCTCAGAAAAATTAAGATCCCTGAGAACTTTCCAATGGATCCTCAAGGTCAAAACTATTTTTATAACAACAGTAAGGAGATATTTAACCTCTCACTTTTATTTGCTCACAAAAGAACACTGGAGTCTTCAGCGACTACATGACAGACTGAATGCAGAAGCAGATGTGAGAACCCAGCTGTCCCTTTCTTCTATGCCAGTCATTAGCGATGTTCCAAAAATGTAAAACAATGTCACTCTTCTCACCAAATTTTTTGTTTTAGTAAGTATAATTTTTAATTAAAATGTTATTTATATTAACATGTCATAGGCTTATTGTTGTCTTAATAAATTGATAAAAATATTTTAAACTCGCCGAAACCGGTTTGGCTCAGTGGATAGAGTGTCGGCCTTCGGACTGAAGGGCCCCAGGTTCGATTCCGGTCAAGGGCATGTACCGGGGTCTCTCTATCCCTCTCCCTTCTTCTCTGTAAAAAATCAATAAAATATATTAAAAAAAATAATAATAATATTTTAAACTCTCCTCAGCTTTAACTTCTAATATGATGCATATCAATAGATACAACTCATATAAACAAAAGCTCTTTGGGGTCCTCAATAATTTTTAAGAATATAAAGGGGTCATTGGACCAAATGCTGATCCAGAGAATGACTGGAGGCCTCCCAGCGATAGCTTTCGCCAGATCATTCTATACAAATGATCAAAATGCAGGGCTGAATTATGAGAAACAAATCAAAACCACATAAAGTACTGTAGCTTCCTAATGCAAGTGACAGATGTAATTCAATAGCAGATAGATTTTTACACACAATGAGGCTATCACTTTTGAAGTTACCAGAAGAGAAAAACATCTCTCCAATGCATGCAATAGACAAGGAAAGCAAAGTTTCTCTGCGGTAGCACCTCGAAATTCTTCCACACTAACGCCCTGCCCTGATAATGGTTCACGTGCTCCTGCTGTCATTTATACCACCCAGTCTTCGGAAATAGCAAGTAAGGGGCTCAATAACATTTAAAAATAACTTCAAGGAAAATGTTTCCATAAGAGAAAGAACAATATTACAGCCCTCCCTCGTCTTTCCTAGCATTGAGTAACAGTAAGAGATACAATGCCTATGTTGCCAAGGAAGGGAAAGGAACACTAATTTTTCTAACCAGATTTTTATACACCAAGTTACTAAAGAAAACCTTCTCCAAGCAATCCAATTATCTATCAGCTGGGCATCCAACAGCAGGTAAAGGAAAGAGTGAATACTTCCAAAAGCTTTCTAGGGACGTGGGGGAAAAGCTAATTCACGAGTTATTTGGGTAAGAGATTTAAGCCAGACCAAGCAACAAAATTCTCCTTTCTTCCTCAAGCATATCTATTAATTTTACAGTCTCAAAAGTACATCTTTTATCTTAAAAATCAGTTATTTTGTAGTTGCAATTCATCTTTATGCAATATATAAGCAATTTGTGGACAACAGAAAGATTACTGAACCTAATTTACTTAATAGATCTTTTATTCTCACAGAATAGTGGTTCAAATGATAATTTATAGTACGTCAAAACCGAACTCTTTATTATGTATTTTAAAAAATAATAGGATAGTACAGATAGAAAGAACAAACAAGAGAAGCAGTGACGATACTTACAAATTTTATCTTGTGAATTCTTCCTTGTGCTGTATCCTGGACCAAGATCTGGAAACCCGCCAACATTTTCAAAACAGAACTTCTTATTAATATAGAGAAAAAGGAGCAGCATCAAGATAATAAACACCCCAACCGCTGACAAAAATCCAACCGCCTCTGGAGAGACTAGAGAGAGAAAAGTCACAGCTGTCAGCATTCACTCCTCTTTAACCACAAATAAGGAAACCCCCATAGAAATGTCAGATTACTGTCTTTTTAAAATTATATTTTAAACTGTCATAGTTCACAAGAGTTTAGTTTATAAGAAAGACAAACCGCACAGTTTAACAAGTTATTCGATTCACTCAAGAAAATGTATTCAACTCTTCTAAAAGTTTCCCTATAAATTACGTTAGGACAATCTTAAAAGACAAGTCTTCAAACTTGGCGGTTTTACATTTAGTTCATTGAAGAGTATTACAAAAATTTTAACACAAGAATTACAAAAACTATTTCCCATGCACGAGTATATTACTTAATCAAATTTGTGAGAATGTATATCATTACTCATATCTCTAAAAGCTTCAAAGGCCCTTTTTTATTAAATAAACTCTGGACTTAACCTGACATTCAAAGCCCCAGCCTCTCTTTTCAATATTTTACTCCAATCAAATGGTCCCACTCATTGTCTCAGAATCAGGTGCATGCATTACTATACACCTTGTTGTTGCTCTCTCTCTTCCCGTTGCTGCAATGAGCCAGTCTCCTCCCTACCATCTCCCCCTCTACCATGTCCCACTCATCCATTCAACCAACCAATATTTTTGGAGCAGCAGCCATACACCAAGCATTATCATATACACAGTTTCTGTCTTCCATGAACAGTCTGATGAAAGCAGTTAGAACATGGCATAATAAAGGCTATGACTTGGGGGAGGGGGGAGAGGTAGGGACTATGAGACCCATAGAAACACTTGATCCAGAGCTGAAAAATCAAGGAAGCTTTTCTGAACGTTACCACCTCTATGATTATATTTTAAGAATTAGTAAGAAGTAGCTGAGTTAACACTATTCCAGGCAAAAGAAACGGCATGTGCAAAGGTGCAGAGACGGGAGATCATCATATATTCTAGAAAATCAGTAAAACTTTGTTATGATGAACCGCCAGATTCTCAAGAAGATCTGATCTCAAAAGGACACATGAAATCATCTTGGAGACTTTGTAGCATGAAAACAGACAAAATCTCCAACTTCTCCAATCCTCAGCAACCCCTCTTTCCTTTCAACATCTGCCTTATTTGTCACTTCACCAATCATTTGGAGTTAACAGGAACTAAATTTTTGTATCCCCAGTGCCTTAAATATAACACTCAAGTATCAACTGAGAATAAATCCTAAGCCTCAAATACCCTCTTCCAGCCTACAACCTGTTTTCTTCCTCCACTGCTCAAGTAGCAGCTAAAATGTCATCTCCTCCAAGATTCTTAATCGGAAGAGCCTTGACCATTAGCATCCAACTCACTTGTTTAAAGTGAAGTCACCAACTAGCCAGTGATGAGTGCTCTAATCTCCTAGATTTTCATTCCTTGAGAAAGCCAGACATCCAGGTGTAGAACCGATATGACACTGCACCTGTTCACAGCGGGGTCAACGGTGTTGTGACAGAGGGTGGAGCAGAGAGTGGTACTGTCAGGGAGGCACTGAGAGTGAGTGGAGGAGGGGACAGGAACGGGGGGAAGTGCTCTATGAATATCAGGCTGATGCTGAGGAACAGCTCTTGCTACTAGAACCAAGAAGACAGCTCTGTCCTGCCCCTCTCGCTTTCAGGCTGAAGAATAGACAGGAAAGAAAATAATATTTTAATAGAAAGATCTAAGCTACATGACAAAAGCAGTGGTATGCACCAAGCCGAAAGGTTGAGATAATAATGGAAACAGAAGAATCAGCAGCAGGATTTCTAAAAGCCAGGAAGGTCAGAAGCAAGACAGAGTCTGGTATGAAAGGGCAAAATGCTTACTATAGTTTATGAAGAAGCAAAACGCGCAGTATCCTTATATTCACTATTACACCGTAAACAGCAAATATGTATAGGCGCTCCCCTCTCCCCCAGGCCCAAAACTCACTCAGAAATTTGATGCCTTAAGTGAACACACAGGGTTAGATAATATGTAGTCTGAAAACTTCCCATTTCTTAGAAAACTAAATGAGAGAGGGAACATAGCTCATTTCACTTAAGAAAGCTATTGCTAACAAAAATAGCAATAAACACATACAGCATGCACTGTTGTAAACACTTTTACTAGTACATATATTAACTCTCTTCATCTTCATAATTATGCTATTATTATTCCCACTATAAATTGTGATACAAAGATATAAACAATGTGCCCAACCAGTAAGTGGAAGAGTCAGTATTCAAACCCTTAGCAATAAACACATACAGCATGCACTGTTGTAAACACGTTACTAGTGCATATATTAACTCTTTTCATTTTCACAATTATGCTATTATTATTCCCACATAAATTGTGATACAAAGATATAAACAATGTGCCCAGCCAGTAAGTGGAAGAGTCAGTATTCAAACCCCTGTCTGGCCTCAGAGTCTGTTTTCAACTATTTCTCATCCTGCTTGCCCTGTTTTCCTTCTCTCCTTCCCTTCTTGCCTCAATCCTTCTTTCTGTGTTCCTCTTTCATATCCCTCCTTCCCATATTTACATTTAACCTCGGGGGAAAGATCAACTATAAACAAGTATGACAGGGGAAGTACCAGACGTATGAATATAAAGTATTACTGGAACACAAAGAAGAACTACTACTTGGGGAAGTAACAAACACTTCAGAAAGGAAATGACACTCGAGCAGGGCATGAAAAATTAACAGAGTGCTATTAAACAGTAAAAGGGCAGATGAAAGAGCGTGGTCAGAGCCACGGAGACGATGTGCGCACATTCTCTAAGCACTAATGGGGCGCCGTCATGGCTCTCTTGGCTACCTCTGTATTCTCAAAGCACCTAGCACACTGCCATGTAGCTGACATTAAATAAACAATTGCAAGTGAATGAATGTTTGTTCAGGAGAGATGAAAATATACCGGCCGAGCTGTGACTGCAGATGAAAGCAAGGTCTGAAACGTCCAAGAACCTTCAATATCATCCTAAATCTTTTATACTTGTTGAACTGTTTTCCTTGAAACAATTAGAAAACTGAAATGCAGTAGAAAGTGAATGGTAGCAAAATATGAGGTTTGGGGGTTTTTTTATGTTTTTTTTTTTGCTTCCCCCCAAAAAAAATTGGGAGAGAGAAAGATAAAATATAAGTCCTTACATCAAGTGGTAGCTTCAATATCATCCTAAATCTTTTATACTTGTTGAACTCTTTTTGCTTAAAACAATTAGAAAACTGAAATGCAGTAGAAAGCAAATGGTAGCAAAATATGAGGTTTTGGTGTGTTTTGTTGTTGTTGTTTTTGCTTCCCCCCCAAAAAAAATTGGGAGAGAGAGAGATAAAATATTGAGTCCTTACATCAGTGACACAGAGAAGTGAATCCCAGTCTTTGTTCCAGGAAACGGGTAATAACTCAACGCAGAGAGTGTGGGTGAAGGGAAGGTTAGGATAATTCTAACGTTTCCAGCTTAAGTGAATGGTAACATTATTAACCAAATGAAAAAACATAAGGAAGGCATGTGGTTTAGGGAATGGGGCTAAAGAGGGACGTAGGAGAGACAAGGACAATGAATTCAGTGCTTGACACGTTACGTGAGAAAGGTCAGCAGAATGTTTCCGTGTGGATGCCTGGGAAAGAGGGAAATAGCCTAGTGCTCTGGGAGGCCCAGGTCACGTAGAAACCATGTGGGAGTGTTCCCTTTGCCCATCCTAGTCCATGTGAAGGACTCCACTGACTCAATACAGCCCAAGTGGCACACGCCAGGTAACAGGCTTTATTAATGGTAAATCTCTTACTTTATACATTTTTAGATAAATATATATGGTGACACTGGACAAATTAACACAAAATCTTTCCCCACTAGGAAAAGGAGAAAGATGTCTAATGTAAATATACTACTCACACAACTCCCATTTTATCCATTGTCTGACCAAAATGTCCATTTTCTACATTCACTGAAAAAATTTTATACACTCAAAATTTTTAAATGATATGGTTGCAGATAAGAAATAAATAACATATTTTCTAACAGAAAGTATTAAAAAGCTTCAGACTTCTCTTTTCATCCTTATCTCAGGATTAGAATAATATTTATTTCAAATGACATGATGCCAGAAGTTGGCCAGTTACAGTTCTAAGTGTGAAAACATTGGATAAATGCCACTTGTACATCAAACTGCAATAGAAATACACTAAAGTTAAACTAAAGACATGAATGCTATTACCCTATCAAAAAATTGAAATTTACTAATTCAGATCTCAATAATATAAAATATATTTTCACCCAGAATAAGAGGGAAATTTGCCGCCAAAATTTTATTTCTATTATGAATCTGCTTATGCAGCATAAACATTTCTAAGATTCTGGTTAATCTACCTACACATAAACCTACTTTTTTCAAACATTCTAGATCATCCACTGCAAACAAGTAAATTATATTTTAAGATGCACACATAATACCTCTTAAGGAGGATCTCCAAAAATCTCTACCGGCACACAGCCACAACCAAGTGTATAGATATGGGCATTGAAGCTCAGAAAAAAATATAATTTTTGAGTTCTTAAAATTATTTTTCAGTGACAGAATCTTGATTTGAATGCAGGCACACTGACTTCTGAACCCTGAACGTTAGCTATTAACCCCTATTGCTTCCTATTTGCCAGGCACTGTTAAACTCTCTTCCAGTTTAAGCTTTAATGCTGAAAACCATTTTATGATAGTTAAGTACCATACATTATCTTAGGCTTTAGATCAGCAAACTGAGGCCCAGAGAGTAGTGAGCTTGTCTAAGGTCACAAATCTAGGAAGTGGTAGAACCTGGATTTGAACCCAGACATTCTGCCTTCAGAGCCCATGGTCCCAAACACCAAGCAACACTGCTTCCTTATCTGCCAACCTGCAATGTAAAAAGGGAAAGCTGTGTGCTCAAAGTGATATGGCTTACTACATATATTCTGAGAACGTATTTTATGGTTTACCTTTTAAATATGTCAAAAGATAGCAAATGATTTCAACTT